GCGGCTTCCTAACACAAAAGCATAAGTTTTTCTACCTCTTCAGCGCATGCTATCACATGTGCCACTCGCGCGCGCATGTCGAAATGGTTCGGATGCCTTTGCGCGCGTGCTGTCGCAATGGTCCTTTGCAATAAATGTAAATCCTGCGGGTTCGGAAGGAGTTCAACATCGAGTGTCCCGAAACAATATAAAATCACACGGCTTAGCAACACCAGTTGTCAAAAAGGTACTCACGCGCTCTTGCGAAGTCTTAGTAAGCACACCAGAAGTGCTTCAACATTTCCATCACATGCGGCCAAGCGGGCTGCTCGCCCCGCATGTCGGAATCATTCGAACGCCGGTGCGCGCGCGTTGCGGGGCGGGGGGGGGGGATACGGTCCCTGTCAAAGAATACCATGCGACCACTCGCGCGAGTCGGCCGCGCGCATGTCGAACTCCTTCCAGAACCTTTATCACAAACGCGAAAACATCGTCATCGTCATCGGCGTGGTCAGCATCGGCGCCCTCATTGGCCTTGACGTCGTCATCGTCATCATCGCCACCATCGTCGCTAATATCGTCATCGTGTCTACCGTTGTCGGCGTCGCCATGGTACAGCGCCCGCCCAAGTCACCGATTCGCACTGAAGTGCCGCTGGCAGTGCCCAACGCTCAGCGCCACCGCGGCCGCGTCGGTCACGCCAAATTCACTGGCCGCTGTCCGCGTGAGCATGCGCGGGCTAGCGCGGCCGCAGAGATGTACACGTCAGCACGAAACACTCATCGCAGTCGCCGCCGCATGGGTTTTGCAAACCAAGTTGCGGGTGGGTGGGTGGGATGGTTGCGCGAGCAGGGAAGTTGTCAACTTCAAGTTTTCAAAACTTAATTGGAAGGCGTAGGTTGCACCACGTAAATTGTGCAACACAGGTTGCACACCATATGCTGCACAACATCGTTTGCGCAGCATATGTTGTACACAAAACGGCGAGCGTCGTCTCATAGCGATTGCACAGCATATATTGCACAACGCCTGTTGCACAACATATGGAACACCACGCACACACATATTTACACATAGGAGTATCTTGCACCACATACATGGCTCCACATAGTCTGTACCGCATACATTGCACCACGCGGGTTGACCCCACCATATGACAAACCATATACCGCACAACATAGAATACACAATATAGGTTGCACAACATAGGCTACACAACGTATATGACATAACATAGCTCAAACAATACATATGCTCCTTCCTAAGAGAAAATTCGGATCTGCCGCACCACTCCCGTAGATTAACCGCCCACCCTGAGGATGTGCAAATCACATACGGTTCTGCCCCAACCGTTCATTCTACATACGAGTTCAGACCATCCCGGCCAGGACGGTACCGACCCCCCCGTTCCTGGCAAAGGATACAATGCGCGCGCACTCGCTCATCAAATATATCCCGTTTCAAGGCTCCCTTGCAATAGAAGCGGGACGAAGTGCACACGCGTGCGTCGACGGCGCGCATGCCAGAATCCTTTCAACACTTTGGGTTCCGTAGGGCTTTCACAACCGATTGCCCAGAACATTTTTCTTAGTTTAAAACGCATGAAGCGTTCCAAATAAAGGCTTTTTGCATACGAGGATCGAAGGAGTTGCCATATCTTCCTCGGCGGAAGGCGGCGGAAGGGCGGCGAAAGCTCGGCTGAAATAACACGGGGCCGCATCCGCCGGCGGAAACCGACGGAAAGCTCGGTGAAACGGCGGAAGAAAAAGATGTGCCCCCAGAAGATGAAAACAATGTTGGGTTTCGGGTTTCCCAAATCTCCTATGGTTTTGCAACATCCGTTTATTTCCCAACCCTCCTCGGTTGGGTATTCGTTTTGAACAGAGCAGTGCTCGCGCGTCCTTCCTTCCTCCCGCCTCCTCCCTCCCTCCTCCAGTCTCCCTCTTGTCTCCTCTTGCCTTGTGCGGGCCTCGCCATCCCTGGGGGGGTGCGATCAGCGAAGCTGTCGCCTTTTTCGAGGGCTGCTGGGGAAGCCAACAGAGTGGGTACTCACTGCGGATTCAAAGTAGGCCTCGCCTTCCCTGGGGGGTTGCGATCAGCGGAACTGTCGCCACCATCTAGGGCTGCTTGGGAGGCCAGCGGAGTGGGCACTCACCGCGGATCAGAATTCGACCTCGCCATCCCTGGGGGGCTGCGATCTGCGAAGCTGTCGCCACTTTCGAGGGCTGCTGGGGAGGCCAGCACAGAGGGCACTCACCGCGGATCAGAATTAGACATCGCCATCCCTGGGGTGCTGCGATTAGCGAAACCCTCGCCACGTTCGAATGCTGCTGGGGAGGCCAGCAGAGTGGGTGCTCACCGCGGATCAGAATTAGACCTCGCCATCCCTGGGGGGGCTGCGATCTGCGAAACTGTCGCCACCTTCGACGGCTGCTGGGGAGGCCAGCAGAGTGGGCACTCGCCGCGGATCCAAAGCAGACCTCGCCATCCCTGGGTAGGCGCAGAGGGTACTCACCGCGGATCAAACATGAGAGCTCGACATCCCTGGGGGGTGCGATATGAGAGAATGTCGCCACTTTCGAGGGCTGTTGGGGAGGCCAACTGAAGGGGTACTCACCGCGGATCAGAATTCGACCTCGTCGTCCCTGGGGGGCTGCGATTTGCGAAACTGTCGCCAGTTTCGAAGGCTGCTGGGGAAGCCAGCAGAATGGGCACTCACCACGGATCAGAATTAGACCTCGCCATCCCTGGGCGGTGGGGCTGCGATTTGCGAAACTGTCGCCGCTTTCGAGGGCTGCTGGGGAGGCCAGCAGAGTGGGCACTCACCGCGGATCAGAAGTAGACCTCGCCATCCCTGAGGGGCTGTGATTTGCGAAACTGTCGCCACTTTCGAGGGCTGCTGGGAAGCCAGCAGAGTGGGCACTCACCGAGCATCCAAATTAGACCTCGCCGTCCCTTGGGGGGGCTGCGGTCTGCGAAACTGTCGCCACTTTCGACGGCTGCCGGGGAGGCCAGCAGAGAGGATACCACCGCGGATCCAAAGCAGACCTCGCCATCCCTGGGGGGGCTGCGATCTGCGAAACTGTTGCCACTTTCGATGGCCGCTGGGGGGGGCCAGCAGAGAGGGCACTCACCGCGGATCAGAATTAGACCTCGCCATCCCTAGTGGGCTGCGATCTGCGAAACTGTCGCCACTTTCGAGGGCTGCTGGGTATGCCAGCGCGGTGAGTACCCACCGCGGATCCAAAGTGAACCTCGCCATCCCTGGGCGGCTGCGAGGCTGCGATCTGTGAAACTGTCGCCACTTTCGAGGGCTGCTAGGGAGGCCAGCAGAGTGGGTACCCACCCGCGGATCCAAACTAGACCTCGGCACCCCTGTGGGGCCGCGATCTGCGAAACTGTCGCCACTTTCGAGAGCTGCTGGGGAGGCCAGCTGGGTGGGCACTCACCGCGGACCCAAGTTAGACCTCGCCATCCCTTGGGGGGGCGGGCTGCGATCTGCAAAACTGTCGCCACTTTCGAAGGCTGCTGGGGGGACCAACTGAGTGGGCACTCGCCGCGGATCAGAATTAGACATCGACATCCCTTGGGAGGGGGTGTGTGCGATCCGCGAAGCTGTCGTCAATTTCGAAGGCTGTTGGGGAGGCCGGCAGAGTGGGCACTCGTCGCGGATCCAAAGTAGACCTCGTCATCCCTGGGGGCTGCGATCTGCGAAACTGTCGCCGCTTTCGAGGGCTGCTGGGAAGGCCAACTGAGAGGGTACCCACTGCGGATCAGAATAGACCTCGCCATCCCTGGGGGGGTGCGATCTGCGAGACTGTCGCCACTTTCGAGGGTTGCTGGGGATGCCAGCAGAGTGGGCACTCACCGCGGATCCAAAGTAGACCTCGCCAACCCTGGGGGGCTGCGATCTGCGAATCTGTCGCCAGTTTCGAGGGTTACTGGGGGGGGGCAGGGTGGGAACTCACAACGGATCCAAATTAGACATCGGCACCCCTGGGGGGCTGCGATCCGCGAAACTGTCGCCGCTTTCGAGGGCTGCTGGGGAGGTCAGCATCATGGGTAGTTCCCGCAGTCTCAAGTTAGACCTCGCCGTTCCTGGGAGCTGCCATTCCCCAAACGACTCAGGGGCTCAACTTGTTAATGCTTTTCACCAAGCCCTTACCCCTTGATCGGGGACCCGCGAGCTTCCCGAATGCCGTTTCTAGAAGTATAGCTTTCCATGCCGCGTCGTCACCCCGTATACAGTCCCCCAAGCTACTCATACCCCGCATTGCGCAGGGGTTGGGTATGTCGCCAGGGGTTTTGCATTGAAGAATCTACGCGCGCACTCTTGCAACTTTTTAAAGCAAGCCGTGCGCTGTTCATACTTTCTCACCAGATGCGACCGAACGGGTTCTCTCTCGCGCGAGCGCGTGTCATAATCATTCGATCGCCCTTGCGCGGGTGCTTCGGGGGGGGCGGACGATCCCTGTCAAATAACACCATCGGGCCCGTCGGCCGCGCGAGCATGTCGAAATCCTTCCAAAACCTTTCTATCACCGACGCGTGGACACCATCATCGTGATCGGCGTGGAAAGCATCGGACCCGTCACCTGCCTTGCCGTCGTCATCGTCATCGTCGACACCAACTTCGCTGCAATCATCATCGTGGCTGCCGTTGTCGACGTCGCCATGATACCGCGCCCGCCCAAATCACCCACTCGAGCTGAAGTGGCCGCCTGTCAGTTTCAACCAACGCAGGGTCTGAAAACTTCGTCCTGTCCAACTTCAGTACACCTGTCGTACATGGTGTGCGCTCGACGCTGAAGGCAAAATCCGCATGCACTGCCAAGTGGTCATCCCGCGGTGCATGTACATCAAACGAGCAGTCGACTAACACGGTCTTCACCTTAGCGTGCCATTAGCATGCCATCAAAACGTAATCCAAGCGCCGTGAGCAATCCTTGCCAACAAAGGTACGTCCCTCCTCGTGAAGAAGACACGCATGTGCACAAGCGTAGACCCCAATGGTCTTTATTGGCAATCTGTGAAATGCAATCGACAACCAAATCCATGATCAAGATCAAGAAAAATATGCTTTAAGACATGTGGGCCAGCTTCCTGGGAGTTCCTTAAAACAAGCCTGGGCAAATTTCTGCTGTTCACGCTGAAAGGGCGACCGTGCTTAAGACACCGGGCCAGCTTTCTGGCAGCTTTTCAACAAATGTTGGCGGCGACAAGCTGGCCCCAAGGATGGTGTCGAGAGCTCCTTGGGCCCCCATCGTGAACAAAAGCGACGACGGCGGAGGCCCAGGTCTGGGAGGGGGGGCGATCACGCGCGCTGCCGCCGAAGCCAATCAAGCCGTGCGCGGGCAACTTTTGCGCAACTCCAGAAGGACGCCATACCCTGCGCGGAACAAGTTGGAACGCCAAGAGGGCCTGGAGCTGGAGCCGGCGCCCTCGCCAGTCCTCGTGGAAACGGCGGGTGACATCAATCTGTTCGGCATGTAGGGCCGTACGGTTCAGTGCTAGTTCTCGCTGTCCCCAGCCTCAACGAAGATCATCTCCGTGTCCTTCGAGCCGCAATACGTGTCCCACGTGCCCTTGCGCTGCTGGCACGCCTGGCTGTCGACGCCGCGCTTGTCCGCCCACGCGTCCTTCCTCCACTTGTCGGTCTTCATGGCCTTGCTGGGGCACCCGGAGGGGATGCGCATGTAGCAGCCGGGCTTCTTCGCCAGCTCCTGAAGGAAGGAGAGGCGGCACAAGTTTAAACTTCCGGAGGTCCGCGCAGATCTCTCGAGTCGGCGCTGGGATTCGCATGCCTGGCGCGCGGCGGGCACCAAGGGCGGCGCTGGAGGCGCCGCCGGGGGGCCCCCAGCGCCGATCCGAGAGATCCACGCAGAGTGGCGCGTCTGGGAGGAAGTAGTTCCAGGGGAAGCGAAGGAGGAGGAAGAGGAGGAGGGAGGAGGAAGAGGAGGAGGAGGGAGGGAGGAGGGAGGAGGGAGGAGGGAGGAGGAGGAGGAGGAGGAGGAGGAGGAGGAGGAGGAGGAGGAGGAGGAGGAGAGAGGAGGAGGAGGAGGAGGAGGAGGAGGAGGGGAGGAGGAGGAGGAGGGAGGAGGAGGAGGAGGAGGAGGAGGAGGAGGAGGAGGAGGAGGAGGAGGAGCGACAGTTCATGCTTGTGCATTCTTCCTGGAATATGTCTCGCTACAGGGCTCTCATCCTCGCGAGTAATACGGACAGCTCCCACAAGGGGGGGATGGGGAGAGCCCGAGACCGCCTCCCCGAGATCCTTGGGTCCGGCAACCGTATCGCCTGGGACTTCCTCAGTGTACGGTGGGGCTATTGGACGAGGGGCCCGTAGATGAGGAATCCAGGGTCAGGAAGCCGGTGGAACTCGAGTCGTGCGTCGGCCATGGGCACCACCGCCGCCCCCATCAGACAAGGAACCCTCGGGGGTCTGCGGCCTCCGGGGCACAGTCCTTGACGAACGCCCCCACCGGATGTTTCGCTACAGGGTTCTGATGCTCGTGAGAACACTGGCGATGGACAGAACCCCATCATAATTAAACGTGGTTTAGTGAAAACGACCTCGGGCCCAAACCTGGCGGGCGCAAGCCTGGAAGACGACGGCCGCGGCGCTCTCGCGAGCACCGAAAACGGACAACTCACGGATCGACGTGTCCGGGTGGGGGCCCCGTCCCCCCCCCCGAGACAGCACACGGAGGGCTCCCACGAGAGGGAGGCGGGGAGAGCCCGAGGCCGCCCCGCCGAGATCGCCGGGGGCCGGCAGCCGCCTCGCCCCGAGACTTCCTCTGCGCTGCGCGGCGGAGGCCCGTCCACGGGAGACCTTCCGCAAGGGACCCGGCCCCGAGCCCCCAGGACGTCCATGGATCTCTGGCAGAGGGGGGCGTCGCGCAAGAGACCCAGCCCCGAGCCCCCAGGACGTCCATGGATTTCTGGCAGAGGGGGGCGTCGCGCAAGAGACCCGGCCCCGAGCCCCCAGGACGTCCATGGATTTCTGGCAGAAGGGGGCGTCGCGCTGCCCGGGGCGCTTCTTGGCACGGGTCGCCACCGTCTTCGAGCCCCGTGCTCTCTGGCCTCCATGCCGGCTGCGAGTTTGGCCCGGGCGGCCACGATCCCTCTGGCACACCTACGCTGCGGTGCACGTGGCCATGCTCTCGCCCGCCCTGGCCCGAATTCGGTGGGGGCACTGGGCTAGTGAAACTCGAATCGTGGATCGGCCATGGATATCATCGCCGCCCTCAGCAGATAAGGAACCCTCCAGGGTCTAAAGCCTCCTGGGCGCATTCCTCAACGAGTGCCCCCACCGCAACACCCTGCCGCACTTCGGGCTCCTCGTGTTGCAGGGGCTCTCCACGCCTGCGTGCGCTTCTGACGCCAGCGGGGAGCGTCTTTTTTAAGGGGCCCGAGCCCAAAACTCCGAGACCTCTTGAGGCTGGTCGCGTGCCCCCTGAGCTCCAGGAAGCGTTCTCGCATGACATGCTCGGGCCCAAGAGGGCCCGAAGACGGGCCAAGAGGGCCGCACGAGGCCCCCCAAGACGGCCCACGAGGGTCCCGAGTCGCCGAAAGGTCGACCCAAGACGCCCAAGATGGCCTCAGGATTGCCCCAGAGGCCGCCAAGACCCCCCCCAGAGACCTCCAAGGCGCCTCTCAAGAGAGCCCCAAGAGGCAACGATCATTGAGTGTCCGTGGGTGTTGGAAAGATTCGGGCGTTCTCGCCTTTCGATTTTCCGACCCTCCAGGACGGCCCAGGAACTCCCAAGACCACCCCAAAACGGGCACAGAGGCCTCCAAGAGGGCCCCAAGACAGCCCAAGAGCGTCCCAAAACGGCCTCAGAGGCGCCCAAGACGGTTCCCAAAAGGGCCCAGGACAGGGAACACGAACCGAAAATCCAAGCCGTCCGCCCCAGGCGGCCCCAAAGGATGCACCAAGAGGCGCCCAGGAGGCCCCAAGAGGCCCCAAAGAGGCACCAAAGAGTCCCCAAGAGGCCCCCATGAGGCCCACAAGAAGCTTCCAGAGGCCCCAGAACGGCCCCCACGAGGCCTCCAAACTGCCTCCAAGAGTCACCCGAGAGGTCTACCACGAGATCCCACCGGACACCCGATAGGCTTCAGACCCACAACTCAGGCGTGGTGGCGGGATGGGCCGAAAGCCATTCGACCCGCCGCCCCCTGTTGGCTTGCCACAGGAGTGCCTGGCGTGCTGGATCGATCCTACACGGCTTGGTTCTCCACAAGAACCCCCCCCTGGGGCTTCGGCGCTTGCTGCCGGCCACCCGGAACACTGCAGAACATGTACAGGTCGTTGGTTTTTGGGCCGTGGATGGCGTCCAAGACGGCCAAGATGGCCTCCAAGTTCGCCCACGCTGGTCCAATGTTGCCTCCAAGACGGCTCAAGAGGGTCCAAGATTTCTCCAAGTCCGTCCAAGGAGCCACCAAGGCAGCCCAAGATGGCCCAAGACGGCCGCAGATCCCTCCAAGAGGCCCCCAAGACGGCCCAAGTGGCCTCCAAGAGGTCTTCCAGGAGGGTCCGAAGAGGCCAAATTCGTATATTTACCTTAGATGTTTGAAGGACTTTAACATGTGCTTCTTTTCGGCCTTCCGACGGCCTACGATGGCCCAAGAGGCCCCCAAGATCGCCGCAAGATGGCCCAAGAGGCCTTCAAACTGGCCCCATGACGGCCCAAGAGGCCCCCAAGACAGCCCCAAGAGGGCCCCTAAGACGGCCCAAGAGGCCTCTTAGACGCCCAAGATGGCCTCCAGGACGGCCCTGGAGCACCCCAATATTCCCCCAGAGAGGCCCCCAAGGCGGCTTCCGACTGCGTCAGACGGGCCAGGAACGCCCCAAGACGGCCAAAGAGGCCCCCAAGAAGCCCCCAAAGGTCCCCAAGAGGCCCAAGGAGGCCCCCAAGAGGCCCCCAGGAAGCTCCCAGGAGGCCTCAAGAGTGCCCCAAGAGGCTCCCAAGAGGCCTCCTCGTCCTTCTCCTCCTCTTCCTGCTCCTCCTGCTCCTCCTCCTGATCTTCCCCGCCATCCTCCCCAAAGTGTTTCCCGAAGGGCTTCCACAACGGCTGGGGAAACACATGGTCAGCTAGCTTGGCAGAGCTCTTGCCACTACGCTCGGCCACATGGGCGATTTCAACAGGCATTGGGCGGCGGTGATTCGCCGTAGGCGTCTTTGATACTAAGGTACACATGGCCATGCTTTCACCCGTCCTGGCCGAAAGGGCACCCTGCCGCACTTCCGGCTCTTCGTGTTGCAAGGCCTCCACTCCTGCGAGCGTTTCTGATGCAAACGTGAACACCACACCGCACCTCGTGCGTTTCCTAGGGATCCATGGGTGTGAGAGAGCGCGTTTCACGGGAGCTCGCCTTGGGGACATTCGGCGGCGCGTTTCGAACCGGGGGATGGGCCCCCCCCAACACTCGGCGCCGTCGATCAGAACCAGGGGAGGGGGACTCCCCTTCCCCCAACCCCCCCCCCTCCCAAACCCCCCCCCCTCCCTGGCGCCGGCGCTGGCGCTGGCGGCCGCCAGCAGCGCCGACGGCGGGGGCGCAGCGACGATGACCAGAGGCAGCCCAAGGCCCAAGAGGGTGGGGGAGGTTCCAACCCCCGCCCCTCGCTGGCGCCAGCGCGGCGCCGGCGGCGGCCAGCAGCGCCGGCGCCGGCGACGGCGAGGACACAGCGACGACTACCACCACTACCACCACCACCACCACTACCACCACCACACCACCACCTCAACCCACCACCACCACCACCAACCAAACACAACCACCACCACCACCACAGCCACCACCACCACACAACCACCACCCCCACTCACCACCATCACCACCACCACACAAAAAAAACACCACCACTACCAGCACCACCACAATCTGCCACACCACCACAACCACCGCCTCAACCACCACCACTACCAGCAGCACACCCACCACCACCACCCCAAACCACCACACCACTACCACCGCCACCACCACCACCACCACAAGCAGCACCACCTCCACAAACCACCGCCACCACAACAACCCACCACCACAACCACAAACCACCACAAACCACCACCACACCACCACCAAACCACCACCACCACAACCTACCACCACCAACACCACAAACAACCACCACACCACCACCAAACTACCACCACTACCACCACCACCAACACCATCCACCACCACAACCATCACCACCACAACAAACTACCACACCACCACCACAACCACCACCACCGCCACCACCACCACCACAACCCAACACCACCACCACCACCACCACCACCACCAACACCACCACCACCACCACCACCACCACCACCACCACCACCACCACCACCACCACCACCACCACCACCACCACCACCACCGTCGTCCTCGTAGACGCTCCCCGCCGCCGCCGCCCGCCGCCGCAGGCGCCGGCGCCGGCCCAGAAAAGGACGTCCTCGTCCCCGCCGCAGCCGCCAGCCGCCGCCGATGTAGGCGCCGGCCCGAGGAGAGGAAGAGAGGAGAAGTAGGGGAGGAGGGGGTGGGCGGTTCCTCCCCCCCCCCCTCCAACCTCCTTTGCTGCCACTGTGAATGCATTCGACATGGGGTCCGAGTGGATGGGGTCGGAAGATCGCGCCGCATCGCCGATGCATCGGCGATTCATCGGCAATGCACTGACAACATCTTCCATGCATCAGCGCCATCGGCCTCGGGGAAAGCGGGCTCCATATCGAGCCGCATCGCCGATACATCGGCGATGCGGCGAGATCCTCCGACCCCATCTGCTTCGACCCCGCTTGGGGGGCCTGGATATTAGGATGCTTTGCTGGGGCATTTCTTGAGCAGGGGCCGACCGTCCCGGTAGTCCTATAGTTCTAACACGACATTTTCTTAGAACCCCTAAAACGTTGCTCTTAGATCATAAACTCGATTGTGCTAAAGCAAGACAGACTCACCATACATGTTCTAAGAACATATCGCGCAGACCACAATAAGGTTCTTAGAACATGTTTTGGGTGGGCCTCTATAGGCGAGCTAGGACGCTTCGCAACTGCTTGAATCTCTTCTTCGAACTCCTTGAGCTCGTGCTGCCTGGCCTCCGCCTTCGCCTGCTCGGCCCTGGCGGCCTCCACGGCCCGGGAGTGCTCGGCGGCCTGGGACACGGCCTGCCGGGCGGCCTCCACGGCGCTTGCCGCCTCCGCGGCGGCCTGCGCCTTGGCCCGCTGGGCCTCGGCGGCCTCCGCGAGCTCGCGCTGCTTGGCCACCAGCTCGGCCTCCAGCTTGCGGTTCCTCAAGGAGGAGGAGGTGGAAGAGGAGGAGGAGGAGGAGGAGGAGGAGGAGGAGGAGGAGGAGGAGGAGGAGGAGGAGGAGGAGGAGGAGGAGGAGGAGGAGGAGGAGGAGGAGTGAGGTGTTCCTCTGCTGGTACTTGAGCTCGTTCTGCTCGGCCTCCAGCTTGGCCTGGAGGCCGAAGACCTTGTCGTCCACCTCGTCCAAAGGATCCTGGGCCCGGCCCTCGCCCCCGGCGTCGCTGGCCTCCGCGTCGGCCTGGCCGTCGGCCTTGCCCTCGGCAGGCTGCAAGGCCTCCAGGGCCTTCTCCGCACGACCGCTCCAGCTGCCCTCCTTGGCCGCCTTCTCGGCGGCCCTGGCCGCCTGCTCGGCGGCCTGCGCCTTGGCCTGCTCGGCGTCGGCGGCCTTCTTGACCTCGCGCTCCTTGGCGACCTTCTTGGCGCGGCTGGCGTACAGGGCCTCGCCCCTCACGTGCTTGGCGGCCAGCTCCTCGATCTCGTTCTGCTTGGCCTGCACCGCGGCCCGCAGCTCCCGCACCCGGCTCTTCTCGGCCTCCGCGTCGCGGGCCAGCTCCGCCGCCTGCTCCTGTCGGCGGCTCGACGATGGGGCCCTTGGAGGACGGGAAGGGGCCCAAGCTTGGATCTACGCTGCCAGAGGCAACTCGTCCTTAGGGCCCCATCCCTTAGGTCCCCATCTTTGAGCCACCGATCCTGGGCCCGCTGGGCCTCGGTCTTTTCCTGCGGAGCTGGCTCGGCCGGCGCGGCGGGGGCTGGCTCGACGGTGTTCTCCTGCGCGGCGTCGGCCTGCGCCTTCGGGGCCTGCTCGGCCTGCGCGGCGGGGGCTGCCTCGACGGTGTTCTCCTGCGCGGCGTCGGCCTGCGCCTTCGGGGCCTGCTCGGCCGGCGCGGCGGGGGCTGCCTCGACGGTGTTCTCCTGCGCGGCGTCGGCCTGCGCCTTCGGGGCTTGCTCGGCCTGCTCGGCGAGGGCCTGCTGGGCATGCGCCACGAGATCGCTGGCGTGGGGGTGGATCGGCGCCCAGCTCCTCGACGGAAGCTTCTGCTCGGGCTTGCTCCAGGGCCACGACCACGACTCCGAGAGGGCGCGGGCCGGCTGCGCGGAGCAGCAAAGGAGCAGGAAGAGCGCCGCCTGCGTGGAGGACTGCATCGCCGGAGCTGGCCGCGGTTGCCCAGGGAAGGCAGTGATGAAGTGCTTGTAAGTGTTCTTTTGGGATGAGGCACCTTTGCTGCTCGAGCCAAGGTGGCACGGGGCCCCCCAAACTGGGCAAGCCATTTTTTTTTAGCCCAGCACTCGAACCTTGACACGCTGCACCTCTTGTCCTCACCTTTCCTCTTCATGGCGTAAGAACAGCACCCGCTGAAATTCCGCCGACCCCCGCTGGCCGGGGTTGAGGAGGCGTGTGCAACGTTTGGCTGTCTCCCTCCACCGTCCCCCCTCCTCTTGACAGTGCGCGCGTGCTCCTACCATCTCACCCTCCTCTCCCTCGTCACACGCACCCCTCCCTGCGTGCAGGGAGAGTCTTGACAGCGTGCGCGTGCCCCTCACCATTCCTCCTCCTCTTGACAGGTAGGCGTGCGCCCGCCTCCCCTGCGTGCGCATCACCGCCCTCCTCGCCCGAGGCCCCGCAGGGCCGCCCCGGGCCCCGCTGAGGCCCCCCGCCTGCTGCTGCCGCTTGATTCTGGGGGCCTCCTATAGTGAAGGGGAACTGGAACACACAAATAAATACACACAAATAAAAATATCCCCCATATTTTCCCATATTTTCTGGGTTTTTGTCTTCCCCACCACTTCCCATATTTTTGCATATTTTCCTGGGAGTCGACGATTAATTGTGTCTGTGTGTTTCTTTCCCTCCTGATATAGGTCCCTGTTCCGGATGACGGTCGCGCCCGCGCTGGGCGCCAGCGATCGGCCCGCTGCGCGGGCCGGTGCCAAAGGTCGAGAGCAGTGCCCACCGCCGGCGCGACTCCGCCTCTGCCAGGGGCCCGACATCCTGGCTGAAAGAGGGAGGGCGCACGAGCTCCCCAGGCCACTCCTGTGGCCCTCGGAGCCTCAGAATCCACTCACCGCGGCCTCCAGGCCCTCCGAGGGCGCGCTGGAGGAGGCTCCGGGACATCCCAGATGGCCTCGGGGCTGCCAAGAGGTCTTGAAGACAACCAAAGATGGCCCAAGAGGAACCACAAGATGGCCCCCAGAGGCCACAGTCCTTGTTTTCTCTTTCTTTTTTGCAGACCTCCATCCTCCCACCACTTCTGGGTCATGAGCCCCGAGGCGGCCCGAGAAGTCGGCTAGATTGGCCCAAGACGGCCGAAGACGTCCCCGAGAGGGCCCGGAGATAGCCGAGGAGGGCGCCCAGCCTGCCGCAGGGGCTCCCGGGACGCCCCAAAAAGGCCGCCAGGAGGAGCGGGAGAGGCCCCGGAAGGGGTCTCGCAGGGGCCGCGGGAGCCAGCCCTCACAAGATGGCGCCCCGTGTGCGCTCCGCCCCTTCCCGTCCAGAGCCGCGGGCGTCTCTGGCCCTCGCAACCTGCGCGGTGCCATGCGGTGGTCTGCCTTGGATGGCGCAGTCGCCGCGTTTGGCAGGGGCGAGCTGGTCGTGGTCATGGACAGCGACGACCGGGAGGGCCGTGGGGAGAGGAGGGGTCGGCGATGCGGGGCGGTGCCCTCTCGCCGGGGTGTCGATGCCCACAGTACCCTGGGTCGGACGACGTAGGCAGAAGCACGAAGTAGGAAGGCGTGGAAAGCAGATCGGGCGCCCGCCCGCCCCCGAGAGGAGGGGGACGGTGAGGCTGCTCGAGGACGGGAGCAGGAGGGCGCCCCCAGCAGAGTGGCATCTGGAATCCAAACGGACTTGATCTCAACGACCGGTGGCTGCAGCTACCCTCCAGATGCCCTCAGGGAGGCCTCGGAGGGCCCCCCCCTCCGCCCCCCCCCCCAACAAACCCAGAGCCCTCCGGTAAGGCGCCCGACAGGCCGCCCCCCCCCCCCCCCCCCCGAGGCATCCGAGAGCCCCAGGAAGCCCCGCGGCAGACGCGGAGGGCCGGGGGGACCAGCCAGAAGCTTGGCTTCAGGTCGGGCATGTCCTCCTACAGGCGGGGCTTCGACGAGCAACAAAAGAAGTCAAGAAATGCTAGAAATAGTCAAATGCTCAAACATAGCCAAACATAGTTCACACATCGTCACCAGAGTATGGTTTGACTATTTTGGAACATGCCTCCGGCAGAGGGCCATGCCCGACTTCAGCCTCGCTGCCCCGCCCCAGCACGCGAGACGCAACCCGTAGCGCGCGCGTCGACACGAAGCTCCACACGGAGATTGAAAACGTACGTTTGGCGCGATACGTACTCGCCAACGCGTGGCGCAAGCACGTGCCGAACCAACGCGCAGCGCGTTGGCGCGGACGTCTTGGAACACGGCACGTGATGCGCGGCAGCACGGGCGCCTCAGGGCAGCTGAGACCCGACGCGGGGACACGCAGGCCACGCGGCGGGACGCGGCAAACAGCACGTACGACGTCGGAAGCCGCACCTCTCTGGAGTCGGCGGTGAACAAACCTCCCTCTGGTAAACCTCCCTCTAGTGAAGAAGGCCCAGGGCCGAAACCGACGGACCTGGACCCGCCAACATGACGGCCGCGACGCCCTCTCGCGAACCGGAAACGGCCAAGTCGCCAATTGGCTTGTCAGGGCAGGAGGTCTATCAACCTCCGATAGAGGAAGAACGACTGCATGAACATAGACTCTTGGTGCTCCGCGCGGAGCGCCAAGAGTTTGTGTTTGTACTTTTTTGTTTCTTCTTCGGATCCCCTCGTCTGAGAGTCGGCTGAACGGCGCAAGCCTCTGGAAGTCTGCCCCTGGGCTTCGGTCGGGCATGTCCTCCTACAGGCGTGCTCTGGACGAACGGAAGAGAGTCCGCCATATTCAAAAAATATAGTCAACAGATTGTCCCCAGACAATTGTTTGATTCTGTTTGAATGTCCCTCCTGTAGAGGGACATGCCCGACTTCACCCAAGCCTCTGGAAGTCTGCCCCTGGGCCCCTCCTCCGGGGCCCCTGTCCTGGCGGGCTTCTGCAGCTGAGGGGTGGCCGCGGCGGCGCGGGACGCCCAGGGTGGCCCGGAGAAGCTCGAGCGCGCTCGCGTCCGAGCCAGGACGGTCCTCTCCGTGGCGAGCTGTAGGGAAACGACAAATGACATAAACATAAAAACTCGGAGGTCCGCGCGGATTTCTCAGATACGCGCTGGGGCCCCCTGGCGGCGCCTCCGGCGCCGCCCCTGGCGAGCTCCGCGCTCCAGGGAGGGGGCTCCGGCGCCGATCCGAGAAATCCGCGCGGACCTCCGAGTCTGTATGTTTATGTCATTCTTCGTTCCCCTTATTCTCTCCGTGGCGAGCCGTGCCAGACGAGGCAGAGAATGAGCAAGGATAGAGAGCAGAGAATCCGCCCCTCATAACAAAAGCACCCCGACGAGCGAGGCCGTTCCGTAGGTGCACCCAGGGAAATAATCGAACAGTGCAGGGTTGTTCAGTAGACACCTTCCTCCTCCTCCTCCTCCTCCTCCTCCTCCTCCTCCTCCTCCTCCTCCTCTACCCACGGACGTTCAGCAGACGCCAATCATCGGGGTCGGGGTGGCCGTTCCCCCTTGGTAAGAGGAGGGCGGCCCAGAGACACTCGAGCCTCGACTCTCGTCTGATCCCCGCCCTTCCTCTCCGTGGCGAGCCGTGCCAGAAGAGCAGCAACTGAGTAAGATAGGGGGCAGAGAACCCATCCCCTTAACAAGCACCCCGACGAGCGAAGCCGTTTCGTGTCGGGCGTTGGCAGAACTGGGTTCAGTGGGACCTGGCTTAGTGATGTGTACTGGGGGACGCCCCCCCCCCCCCCGTTCCGCTGCCGTCGCCCGGAAAAAACACCAGCTACGGCAGACGCAGACCTGGTTTCGTGACTCTGGCCACTTCAGGAGCTCCAGAACTCACCAGGCCCCCTTCCCCTGGGGTCCCTGGCTATACCCGATCGTGGAGGCTGGCCGCTCTGTGGCCCGGTGGGGGGGCGGGGGGGGGGGGGGGGGCGACGCCGCAGGGGGCGGGGCGCGGGGCCGCGGACGGGGGGCGCCACCGCAGAGCGCGGAGGGCCCTGCTCTCGCCATCGCTCGGGCGTCCACTCCCCGTCGCGAGGACGAAGCGGGGGCGAGGATCGCACGCGGGAGGAGGGATGGGGGAGGAGGAGGATGAGGAGGGATGGGGGAGGAGGAGGAGGAGGAGGAGGAGGAGGAGGAGGAGGAGGAGGAGGAGGAGGAGGAGGAGGAGGAGGAGAAGGAGGAGGAGGAGGAGGAGGAGGAGCGATAACCCCTGGGATCGCGCGGCTCTGGAGGACGGCTCGGGCCCTGCGGCCTTCTCTCAGACCTTCCCGGAGCGCTCCGGGAGCGTCACGGAGCGCTCTGGAAGGGATGTGTCCTCGTCCTGGCCCCGCCTGGCCATTTGTTCGGCTTCGCACGTTTTTTTTGTTTGCTGTTCTTTGTTGTCGTTCGTCGTTATTTGGTGTCTTCTGTTGTGTTTTGTCTCCGTCCCTCTCTCACTCGCCCGCCCGTCACCGTCAGCTCTTCTGAGCGGCGCGCTGGGCCGCGGGGCACCTCAGCAGGTCGAGGCCGAAGATGATCAAGCACAGATGCCGGAAGCTGCTCGGTTTCGTGCGCGTGTTTTTTCTCAAGCTGCCCTCGGATGCTCCTCGATGGCCCTTGCCGAGAAACGCCCGTACACGTCCGAGCGATGCCAAGTGCTTCCTCTGGGCGGGCAGACGCGGATCCCGCTCGGGCGACGGGGACGAGTGCTGCGCGCTCCATCTGGGCAGAGCAGGCCTACTCGGCGACGAAGGCCATCTGCGTGTCCGCCGAGCCGCAGTACTTGTCCCACATGCTCTTGCGCGCCTGGCACCCTTCCTTGCCGACGGCCTGCTTCACCGCGTACGAGTCCAGCCTCCACAGCGTGTTCTTCATGGGCTTGCTGGGGCACGCCGATGGCGACCGCATGTAGCACCCGGGCTCCGCGGGCTCCTTCCAGGACCAGTCGTCATCGAGTCGGGAAATCGCATCGGAGCGGAAGGTGCCTCGGACCGAGCCGCATCCGCACAAGGCTCGAGTCGAATCCGATCGGCCGCACAAATACGCACAACGGCCCCGCGCAAGCGCAAGGCCGCACCCGACCGTCGGAATACCAGATCCGAACTGGAGTGGGCTGGCCGAAATCGATGTCTTGGGGAGCAACAAGGTACAGATACCGCCGCTCCACGGACTTCTCCTGGGGTG